TTACTTGGGTGTAACAAATCACACAAATCCTCCAGCACCTTAAATTCAGTAGCAGTGGGAAGATAGTCTTTTATATTTTGGAATTCGATGCTTATCATATCTAATGCAGTTTTATTTGTTAATATAGATTCAATCATATCGAATTGGCTATTCCAGCGAATAGCTATATCCTGTACTAACTTTATTTTAGTTTCATAACGAAGTGTTTCTTGAACTTCTTTTAACTTTTTTTGTAACATCTCTGAATGCTTAAATGAACCAACAATGTGCCTGCAGGATGAAATTACCTTGGCGATTTCTAATTTGCCTTCGTTAATTTTTTCAATTTCTTTAACTTCACTTTCTGTAATTTCTCTATTAATTAGTTTTCCATTACCGTCGTAATCTTTTACTTGGTAACGCTTTGACCCATTTTTAAATTTTTTTACTTTTATATCTCGTGCGTTTAGAAGATGATTAACCACGAGATTCAAACGATGACCAGCACACGGAATCTTAAGAACATTATCATCAAATTTATTTACTGCAGAGAAAATATTTGCACCTGAGTCAGTAACTAGTGCAAAAATCTTATTATTGATTGACCATTCACTGAAGATTTCGTTTAACGTATTAAATAAATATTCAGCTGTTTTCATTTCAGACATAAACTTAAGATCCAGGTTTCGGTCAACTAGAGTCATATTTTTGTCAATAAAATGACAAGTCACACCGAGGTAGCTGTTTTTACCTAATGATGACCAACTATCACAAGTAATTGTAATGAAACGACATCCCTTCAATTCTAGCATTAAAATTGATTTAAGATTGTCCGTAATTGATGGAATTAATTTCTTGCTCACCGTATTTATGCAAGGCATTTTGTAGCTTTTGTTTAACTCACTAACTAAGTTTACAAAGTCTGGATGACGTACTATCGAAATCGGCTGATCGGTACCAACAATAAAATTCACCAATAACCTGTTTAATTTTTTATGACCAGTCTCTTCAAAACCATTCTCATTACCGCTCTCAATATCGGATATATCGTCATCGTTGAGTAAAGTTGTTGATTTTTTAGATATTTTAGAATTAATGCAATGATCAATTGATAAATGGGATTGCATTGAACTGGTCGAACTGTTGTAAGGTAAAATCTTATAACATATGCTGCATTTTTTTTGATTCTTTTGGTCCATTTCGAAATATGTCCAAACGAAGCTTCGTTTTCTTATTCCTTTCTTAATAACGGATTTATTTGTTTTTGACATTGTTTATTCAAACTAAAAAGCGAGTAGTTTTTTTACTCGTTCGTATGTAACAAATATTAACAAATTAGTAACTTATGATAAAATAAATTTGTACCACATGTTACTTCACTTACGTTTCCGAGATATTAATGAGATTGTTATAACTTTAATATAAAATTACACCATTTTTAGAATTGTGTAACACAAAAATCGCAAAGGCATAAGTCGATTTGAAACCGTTGCAAATCTCTAAATAACCACTAGAAAGTAATTAGCCGTTTACATTGCAACAATGATTTCATGTCATGCGTTTAAGACCTCAAGGGAATTGCCGTTGAGGAATAATAATGACTTATATGCGTGCTGTAAACTATGCGTTCTTAGAAGGGACTGTCAAAATTCTATATTTCTTGTTTAACCAGATAATCTTTATAGGATTTTAGAGAAAAATTCGAAAAATAATTTAGTTTTTGCTAATTTTTTTAAGTTGACCTTCTACTTTATTTTTAAAAATTTACAGATATTAAAAATAAAATTCCTTACAGACTCTTCTAAAGTGTCTAAAGTTACGCAACTTTTCTTTCAAATTTACTTTGATTTTTAAACGTTGTGTTTTCGAAATAAAAAAAGTATTTTCAAAAGAAATTTTTATGCAATCAAAACGACGCGCAAAAAAAACTTTTTATTTTTTTAACGCTATTCAAGCTATCAAAAAGGCTATTCAAGCTTTTGGTGAGGGTAAATATAATCCCTAAAAATAATTTTATAAAAGTAAAAAGTCATGAAGCTTAATCTAATCAGGCGAGAGAGGTGAAGGGGAAGGTATTGTTTGTCCCGGGCAGCAGATGTCCATGGGGCAAATTCGGTAAAAGGCCCTCAAAAATTTGAAAAAGACCCCCTAAATTTGTCCCCCCCCCCCAATTAAGGAGGAGCGTGGGGAGCCTATCCACGGCTGTGAGTATATCCTTGCTTTTTGGTAGCAGTTTTTTTTTAAAAGTAGCAAAAATAGTATTATTTTCTATATATTTAGAGTTTTATTAAAGTAAAGTTTTTAAAGTAAAGTTTTTAACAAAATACCCAAGAAACAAAATTGAATTGTGCTGCTCAATGTTATGATTTTGGTTGGTGAAGGGGGGGGGGAGAGTTAAATTGTTTTCACAAATTGGCCCCTCCTTATAAGTTTTTTCTGAATTGACGCCACTGTTTGAGCCCAATCTGGAAAAATAAAAACTCTACGTCTATGGACTTATCAGTGCAAACAATACATATAAACCCATATATTGGTCAGATGTCTGATGTTACGCTTCGGCAATAACACTTGCGCTGCTCAGCAATACTCGTTTTACGGCTAGCCAGGACTGGCATTTCAGAGAGCCATTATCAAACCAGTGTATACAGCGTTTACACTAAAAAAGTCATTAGGGCCCCAAAATTTAAAAAAACCTGTTACTAAAAATAAAAAAGCTCCCCAAAGTGTCACAAAATCCGAAACCACGCTAGGCTTAAATATGTGAGGTGATTTGCGAACGATCCCTGAGTTATTATTAAATTAATTGCAGATTCTTCTATAAAATAGTGGGAGGTAGTTAAACCCTTTTCTCTGGCCGTAACACCAAAAATTTTAAGTATTATTTTATGTTAATTTTTAAAATTTAATTATTTATAAAAATATTTTAATAAAATTTTGTACAATTTCAGTAATAAAATAAATATAAGCAAATTTTAGAATTTAATAGTAATATTGTGTAATATTTTCAGAATTTCGATATCACAAAAATATTTCGAAGCAAATTTTACAATTTCGAAAGTAAAAAATTTTTTCGGTAATATTTTCCGATTTTCGAAATCGCAAATATATTTCGAAGCAAATTTTACATTTTCGAAAGTAAAAAATTTTTTCGGTAATATTTTCCGATTTTCGAAATCGCAAATATATTTCGAAGCAAATTTTATATTTTCGAAAGTAAAGAATTATTTCGATAATATTTTCAGAATTTCGAAATCGCAAAAATATTTCGAAGCAAATTTTACAATTCCGAAAGTAAAAAATTATTTCGACAATATTTTCAGAATTTCGAAATCGCAAAAATATTTCGAAGCAAATTTTACAGCTTCGAAAGTAAAAAAATCGTTTCGATGCAAAATTAATTACTTTAAAATTATTTCGAACTTACAGAGAAAAGAAAATAGAGTTTCGAAAACTTTTTTTTTAATCGAAAATTCAACTTTGGCTTTCGTGAACAACCCTAACTTTTATTCCAATCTTTAACCTGAGCAAAGGCATTGCATAGATATAATAAACTTTTGAAAATAGGAACAGAATGGGCATCTACCTAATATATAAAATCATTGTAATAAAAAATTATTATTATTTTGAACAAACATTACAGGCATTAAAACAGAATAGAATTCTCTTATTTGTAAATTAAGGATCTTATATAATTTATCTTAGATGTAAAAAGTTTAATTTTTTTTTAAACTTTTCAAACATTTAAACTAAATTTGATGACCACAAACAAGACAAAGACCTTGTCTATAAAATGAATTTTCGCCACGCTCTGAACACACAACACACTTTCTCACCTTAGAGGCTTGAAGCTTCCAATCAGCTTTGCTGTGCAATTCAAAGCGTTTTAAAACAAGATGCAGCTTTTGCTCCTGATTTCTAACTGAATGCAACTGCCTTAATTCCTTATTTACGCTATTATGCAAACACTCTCCCTCCTCTTCACTCAGCAACCCAATAGTTTTATGCAATTTTACAAATAGTGGCACATTGAAAATGAGTTCATGCATTTTTCGCGTGATACTTTCTTTTGGAAAGCAAGCATGAAACTCAATAGCAAATAAATTTATATATTGATGAAGCTCAGAAATTATATAAGTGAACACAAAGCAAAAATAAAAAACAAACAATAAAATCTTCAAAATTATATATAACAGTTTTCAATAATTACGATTAAAAATTCCGAATTAAGAAATATAATAAAAAGAATTTATAGTTTTAAGAAAAATTTTTATTTTTATATAATAAGAAAACATAAAATAAAAAATAAGAATTTTTTGAAGAATCGAATTTTTAAAATTTTTCCAAATATAATGAAAATATACTATACAATATTTATAAGACTAGTAATTAAATCTAGCTTTAGAAGAAGTCCCCTGCCTTTATATTATTATTATTATATATATTAAAATTATTTCTTTTAGTTTTGATTTAAAAATATTTAAGTTTGCAATCGTTTTAATGTCGTTTCTGATTACTATACTCCATAGTGGGGGCCTCTAGCTGTGAAAACTGAAAATCGCCTCCTTTTTCTACTTCACTAAAAAGTCGCCACCCTTTACATAATGATCTGGGCCCGCCCCTGCTATTTTATTATTATCATTAATATTATGTATATTTAACGATATATTTGTATATAAACGGCATTCTTATGTATGTATTACTAATTTTTTTCAGTAATTTCTGAAAACAATATCATTTTGATTATAAAAAGAAGTTCTATGAAAACATTGTGATGATATTTTAATCACCCATATCTTCTTTGTAATATTTATTTATATATACTTTACAACTGTGTGTATTTAAAAGTACATAAGTATTTATATTTTCAGCGTATATAACTGAAATGCTTTTAAAATATTTATATTGTAAACAAAAGAAAAAAAAACGGTCATTATTTTTTGTGTGACATTTTTATGAACAAATAAATTTTATAATCTTCTGCTTATTATATTACGTAACTATGATGTAATTATGAAAAGTCCTAGTTGCAACTTAAAATAACTTTAATGTTTTTATGAACGCACGTAAATTAATGAGCTTTCGCTTTTCCCGGTAATACTGAAATGATTTTTGCAGTTTAATTTAAAAAATGTCTGGACGAAGTTCTTTTGGCCAAGGTATTTATTGATTATGTAATCATGAATATGTAAAAAAACAAACTGAAAGCTTTGAGTTAAAAAATATCGATTTATAAACAATACTGAAGCAAAATTTAAAAAAATTTGAAAATTTTTTTGAAATATGTATTTAATTACAAAAAAATTTATCTTATGATTATATTTTATAATTTATTTTGCTATTTTTAATATTTCAAACAAAACCGTTTTTTAGGTGTGTTAAGACCTGAGCTGCTTCAAGTATGTGAGTTCAAAGTTAATCTTTTTTTATGTAAGATATAAGATAGTATTAGTTATAAATGCATATCTTTGATATTCAACAATATTTGTTCATAAATTTTATTTAAACTTCTAGATCCCTGAAAAAAAAATCACTTTAGGATATATATTTTTGGACCCTGATTCAGCCAATAAAGTTCTAATGGGTTGCGAATACACAATGATGATAAATGCCTTTATTTTCAATTCATATAAAAACCAAAAATTTCTTTAAAAAATTTATTTAAATAATTCTTCTTTAAACACTCCTCTGTTGCTATCAATACATACATCCTTTATTATATTTTCCTTTTATATAGCCTATAATTATTTGATAAACATAAAAGACTAACATTTATACTTAGTTTCTGGTAAACTTTTTAATACCAAAGAATCATATATTACTTTTATTGATGTTGTTGTTGCTGCTGCTGCTGTTGTTATTATTGTTGTTTTATTGTTAATAATATTATTTTTTATCATTATTATTGTTATTATTAAACAATAAAGTTGGCAGATTATTCCTTTTAGTGTAGATATGCGACAAATTATCAAAATCAAACTAAACCTTTGAGTTAGAGCATATGTAGGGTCTATGGTTTAACATACCATTTTAATAAAAAAAATTCATTCTTACAAATGTTTTCATTATTGTTAAAAAAAAGTGAATCTAGTGTATGAAATAAAAATTATATATTTACTACTTTACATAGATTAGTGGCACACACATCAACTTGGGGTAAGGAGCAGTACGGATTAAGACTTCTTGGGGCCTGGGGCTATTTTTGTTTTTGGAGGCCTTTTTACGGGCCAGAGTCTAAAAATGACTTAAAAAAAAAAGGTCCTCTAAAATTTTTTGGGGCTCCTAAATTTGTGGGGCCCGAGGCTATAGCCCACTAGCCCCCTTGATCCGGCACTGGTAAGGAGCACAACTCTCTCTTTCTGAACTAAAAAAGCATAAAATATTATATTTAGAATAAAATTTAAAAAAATTGAAAATGCTATTATTTCATGATATATTTTAATATATTTATTATTTATTTAGGATTTTAATATAAATATTTTACCATATTAAAAGATGCACCAGGCTATACTTATTTTATCTGATTAAGGTACTGATGACTCCCTGAATGAATAAAATATTATATTCCAATAATGAAATTTAAGGCCGCCAAGAGGGAGGGGCAATTGAAGTAGTTTGCCTGGGGTATCACAGACTATGGGGCATCACAAATGCCTTAAAAATTATTGTAATAATAACAAATTTAGCTGATAACATATTTAAAGCTTAATCAATTTTTGTGTAATAATTTCTTTCTCCTTTTAAACTTTGTTCAAATTTAAAATAGGATAATTATTACTTTACAAGGTTTTCATTTTCCATTTGAGTGCATGCATTTTCGTTGGTCTTTTGTTTGCATGATAAAGTGAAGGCCGTTGAAATTTTTTTTTTCTTTTTTAATGATATGTAAAAGTTTTTTAAAGATGAAACAAAGCGAATTTTATGTATTTTTGACATAATTTTTAGCTATCATCAAAGAGTATCTTCCTTCCACAATGAGCCTGTAGTGAATGTGCTACTTGATGAAAATTTAAATTGAATCAGATTTAACCTATGAAGAAGTTGTTTAAAATCTCGCCGCTAAGAAGGCCCAAAAGATGTGTTTGTCTATTGAGACTTGATTTTAGCGTAGTTTGTTTTTACAAACCAAAAGTGATTTCAGGTTTTGTGACACAAAAATCATCTATATTTTAAAGTTTATTTAAGATAGAACTGTTTCAAGGTTCATTAACCTAATACTAAAAAAAAAACATAAAAAAAACATGTGTTTTTGTGCCTTGATTTTTTTACAAAAAAAAAAACATGTGTTTTTTTGTGTCGCAACTCTATGCATAAGTATTATCGTATATGGCAACCTATTTTAATTAGGAAAACATTAACTAGCCTGATAAAAAATCAGCAACCAGCTGGATTTTTTTCATTAAATGGTCAACATCTTCAAAATCAGTTTCATTTTTAGTCCAGTAAAAAAATAGTGTGAACAATATCTTTGTGTGTTTTTAAGTTTTTATACTCTGATAAACTGTCATGGCTGAATCGGTATCATACCATTCACAGTAGAGATTTCTCTCTACAATTTTTCACACACAACATAGTCATTAGCTGTCCCACCTTGTAGTTGGTTGATAGCAATAACTTGGCAAATATTTTTTGTTGTTCAGTGAATGCTATTAATATGAACACTTTCTTGTGTTATTGTATTAAACTTAAGTGTAAGATTCAACAACACAATTCTTCTACTTGCAAATTCGCAATACTGCCAAACGCACAGCCATTTAATCAACAGTACTACAGTGAGGAATTTGAGAAACAAACCTTAAATAACACCTATTTTTAATTACCAACTTTGTTCACTAGTAAAATGAAATGTTACCTGTTGGAATGTTGGACATAATCATACTTGAAAATTATCATCCTCATTTGTAATGAAAAGTTTTATCGTCATCTGATGTATTTGTATTATTTATCTTGTCTTATTAATCTCTGTATAATTATTTTTAATTTGTATTATTTATCCCCGTCTTGGTCATATCATTTTTTAAGCTAACAACAACCACTTTGTTTGTTGTTAACAACAACCAATTTGTTTTAATAGCAAAATTTTGTGTTAGAGTTACATTTCTACAAATTTATCTCTTTAATTTTTATTGTCTTTTTTTGTGCAATGATTGCAGATTTGCCTACTGTAATAGTATGTTTTTTAAAAAATTCGCTAACACCAATACTGTTAGTATCAATTACTAATAGTATTAATATCTTTATAACCCCGAATTTTAATCATCTAATTTGGTTTCAAAGATATAACTTCAAATAATGGTTTCAAAGATATAACTTTTTAAATTTTGCCATGAATCAACAAAAATCCGCCGTTTTGTTTTTGTTTCAAATGGTTTTGGTCTTTGTTTCTGTATGCAATGGAAAGCTGAAAATATGTACGCTTACAAATTTCAAGGCAAGGAATCCAATAAAACAACTTAAAATATTTAAAAATAACACCTGTAATTTTGACTTTTATTACAATTTTACTGGGACAAGTTTAATTACAAAAATACAGATATAGCTCAAATTTTTTTTTCTCTCATTAGATGTTGCCCTAAATATTTTTTTTAGTATTGTTACAAAAAATTGGAGAGTGGTCTTTTCTTGAACAGAAAAAAAAGCATGGTCAAATATACTTTTAAAATTTGTTACTTATAAAACAGGAATTATGAAAAATCAAATGAAAAAAAAAGGTGGTACTCTTAAGTGCTTTCCAGTGGGTACGGAGCGTAAAAAAGACGTCTTTTAAATGTCTATTGAACATTTTAGTTGTCTTTTAAGCATTCAAAAGATCTTTTTTAGGTCCCCTACCTACTGGGTTAATACACGGAAGTTGATGTTTAATAATTTTTGGAAAATTTTCCTTACTCACACTTATTCTACAGCTTATTAAGACTCCCTCCCCTCTTTTATTAAATTTTACTTGTTATGAACAAATAAACTGTATCTCAAAACAAAACAAAAATTTAGTTATTATTTTCTAATATTTGAGACTGGTTTAGGTCATAAAAATTAGAAACTCATTTATTAAGAAAATAAAAATTCTAACTAGCCTTTTTATTAAGACTTCTTTCCTCCCTCTACCTTCCTTATCTCCTTTCATTTATTACATCTCGCAGTGGGCCAAAATCAACATAAAATGGACAAAAAATCATAACTCCTTTATTTTTAAAGTTGTCAAATTAAAATTATTATCAGTGAATCTAGTCAACATAATGAACTTTTTTTTTTTTTTTTTGCAGACGTAGGCACCCTAAATACCCTAATAGAAAAGGGTGTATAGGGTGTTAGAGATTTTAGACATAACTTTTGGTTGTTTTTAGAAACAGTTTTTCCCAGATTCAAAGCATTAATAAATTAAAATATTTGTTTGATGTGTTAGACCCCTTTAATAAACAAAGAAACATTTATTTAATAAACAAAGAAACATTTATTTAATAAACAAAGAAACATTTATTTAATAAACAAAGAAACATTTATTTAATAAACAAAGAAACATTTATTTAATAAACAAAGAAACATTTATTTAATAAACAAAGAAACATTTATTTAATAAACAAAGAAACATTTATTTAATAAACAAAGAAACATTTATTTAATAAACAAAGAAACATTTATTTAATAAACAAAGAAACATTTATTTAATAAACAAAGAAACATTTATTTAATAAACAAAGAAACATTTATTTAATAAACAAAGAAACATTTATTTAATAAACAAAGAAACATTTATTTAATAAACAAAGAAACATTTATTTAATAAACAAAGAAACATTTATTTAATAAACAAAGAAACATTTATTTAATAAACAAAGAAACATTTATTTAATAAGCAAAGAAACATTTATTTAATAAATATTTTATCAGAAATCAGAGTAAAAATATTCAAAACTTTAACTTAAAAAAAAGTTACAACAAAAGTTTAATACAATCTTTGTTAAGTTCAAGTTCTTTAATACATCTTGAACTCCTTCCTAGAGAGCTAATAATTGGTTCTGAACTCCATAATAATCTTTGCCTAACATCTTCATTGATGATTTTTCTTTAATATTTTCTCGTAAAGTGTTCTCTATAATTTTTAACGTCTTTATTTCGACATCCTGAGCTTCCTCAGAAAGAAGATCTACTGGTACTGGTTTATCTCGTACAACTTGAGAACTATGAATTAGAATTTTATGTACAATTTGAGGCATTCGAAACCACGGGTTCAGAGAAATGTAGAGCTGTTTCTTTGGTATATTTTTTAAGTTCATCTGTGTTGATTTGATGTTTGCGCGATAAAACTCAAAGAATTATGTAGAAACGTTTCATGAGATTCTTATCTAAGCCAAGTATTTCAGCAGACAACTTTAAGTTTCAGAATAATTTTTGTGCTGTGTTTCCATCGTTTGTACCTGAACCGCTGCTTTTTGGTACATCTGCAATTAAACCAAAGTAATCTTTCATCTTTTGTTGAACAATAATCTTTTTTTTTATAGCAATTTCTTTATCATTCTCTCCTCTAATTTGCGTTTTTCCTAATTCAATTCTATAACTTATATGAAGGCAGCATTCAAAGCACCTTTCCATGGATTTAATGTGTTCAATCCATGGTCAGTGGAAACTGTATTATAGATTTTTGAAAAAGCAGCATTTAGATTGTTCATATTTAAAGGGGTCAGTCCACAAATACTACATACTTGAAAGGAATTACTTAAAGGCGAAACTATAGTAGCCACTTTTCCATCGACCATTGTGCATTCTAACTTATGTTTGATAACAAAGGAATTAAAGATCATTGGTTTCAAGTTAATGTTCTTAAAGGAAATATATTCTACTGGATGGCAGTAAAGTGTAGTAGTTAGTATTTTTATTTGTTAAATTTTCTAAAATAAAGCATGTATTGAGATTATAAAATTTTATTTTATGAGTATTTTTTCTATTTCTTTTAAAAAATTTTTTTTTTAAATGGACGAGCTTGAAAACGTTCCCTGGACTCCTAAAACAAAAATTTTTAAACGACAGATTTTTTTATTGTGGAGCATTTATTTTTAAAATATTGCAAAAAAAAAAAAGTTTGTCTATTGATCGAAAGAGTTTAAAAAGTTTATGCTAAATTTTGAATGCAAGTGACCAGTATGTTTTATGATCTTTTAGTTACAATTTCTTCTAGAACTCTAAATGCAATTGAAAAAGATAGCTCAAAATTAGACATCACCTTCTGAATTACCAATAACACTTGCCACTATTGCAGTATGTTGATTAACTGGAAGTCCCTCGCCTATTGCTGTGAGAACTGTTTTCTTTAAAATATTTCTAGGTAATAAAACTAACTAGGGGTTGTCCATTAATTACGTCAACAAAATAGGGGGGAGGGGGTCTGAACTTTTTTGACAATTGTTGACATGGGGGAGGGGGGAGTCAATTAAAGTTGATGTCAACAATTTTTTTTTTTTTTTTTTTGAGTTTCATTGCTTAAATAACGGAAAATTAGGCTGAGTTTGTAGCATAGTTTCTTTGTATAGGGGGGGGGGGTAATCAAAAGTTGACGAAATGTTATAGGGAGGGTCTCTGAAAATTTGACAAATTGTTGACAAGAGGGAGGGGGGAGGAAAAAATTTCAAAAAATTTGTTGACATAATTAATGGACAGCCCCTAGGTAAAAAAAAAGGTAGATTGTTTATATCTGCTTCATGTTATAGTATGTTTGATACAGAAAGTGATAAAATAATAAAGTGCAGAAAGTGATTGTAAACAACTATTAAATATTAATATTTTTTACCAATAATTGTCTCAACCAATTGTTGTTTTTTCTTGAAAACCGTATATCAAATCCATTCCAAAATTATCATCTGCTAAGGTTGTATCTCTTTATCGTGCTCAACACTTTCTTACTTTCAATTTTATTCTTTATCTCTATAAATCTCAAATCCGTCCTTGTATGGAAAACTGTTGCCTTATCTGGGGCAGATCTTTTAATGATGTCCTTTCTCTTTTAGATAAGGTGCAAAAACACATTGTAAACATAGTTGGACACTCTTGCAGCCAACCTCCAACCATTATCACATGGTTGTAATGTTGCTTCTCTTTCTCTTTTCTTCAAATACTTTAATGGGCACTGCTCTAAAAAGCTAGCTTCTTTAGTGCCATCTGCTAAAATTCATTCTTGTGTTATTCTTCATTCAATTAAGTCTCGTCATTTTACTGTGACTGTTTTTAAGAGCTCCAAAAACTCTTATTCGTCTAGTTTTTTTCCTTGATAATCAGTTCTTTGGAATTCGCTTTTTTATCTTGCTTTCCTGATTCATATAACTTGCAATCTTTTAAGTTGTCTGTCCATTGTTATCTTGCTCTATAATCTTCATCTTTTCTCTTTCAGTAACTTCCAACTCTAATAGTGGATGCTTTCAGCATTGTTGGAAGCGAAAATGTTAAAAAAAAAAGGTTATATTTTTTACCTTTTAAGACCTAAACCGGTCTCAAAAATTAGAAAATAACAACTAAATTTCTTTTTTAAGTTTCAAGATACAGTTTGTTCTTAAAATACAGTTTGTTCGTAAGATACAATTGTTCACAACAAGTAAAGTTTAATAAATGTGGGGAGGGGGATTTTTATTGGTTATAGAGGGAGGAATATTATTGCTTTAATAAGCTCAGGGTAGTTAAGAAACTTTTCTAAAAATTAACAAACATCAACTTCCATTTATTAGGCACTTTTTTACCATTGATTTTTCAAAATTCTTGTTTTATAAGAACAAATTCAAGTATATTTGACCATGCTTTTTTTTGCATTTGCCCTAGTAAAATTACAATAAAAGTCAAAATTACAGGTGTTATGTTTATTTTTAAATATTTTAAATTGTTTTATTGGATTACTTGCCTCAAAATATCTAAGTGTACATATTTTCAGTATTCCATTCCATTCAGAACAGAAACAAAAACCAAAACCATTTTTAAAGATTTTTGTTAGTTCATGGCATAGTTTAAATAGTTAAATTTTAGGGCTGTTCTTAACTTATTAAAATCTTTGAGTGGTGTAAAAATTAGCAAAATCTAAGACTAAGGGTTGCATGCCCTGGATGTTTTCACATGTAATCGCCCTAATGCTAATAGTATTACTGTTAGTATTACTAAAATTTAGACTTAGTCCTTATATGACTACTCAGTGGGTACAAGACGTGTTTTAACTCTGAAACACGAACCTTGGCAAACAAGTCCGTTGCGCAAAAAAACAAGCTAAGTGCGGTACTACCAGGGATGTAGTGGGGATCAAACTCGGAACCTCTCGGCTATGAAGCAAGCGCTCTACCACTACCACTATCAGTTGCTCAGTAAAAACTTCTGAGTTCTTTAAGCATTTTAAATTGGCATTTTACTTTTAAAAAGGTTTTTTACTTTTAAATGATATTTTTACTTCTAAAAGAGATTTTTACTTCTAAAAGAAACTCATGAAGGGATTTTTTACTTAGATGTAATAAAAGTTTTTTTTTTATCATTATTAACAGTTTTTAATTATTATTATTATTATTATTATTATTATTATTATTATTATTATTATTATTTTGAAAGAATATGTTAACATTAATAACAAAATTCATTTTCCCTGTTTAATCCTAACTAACCAAAATCAAAAAAATAAAGTTGCCAATATAGGCAACTTTACTTGGGTTTGGTTGGTTAACATATTCTTTCAAAATTAAAAAAAACAACTGATAAAATATATAATTATTAACAATTCTCAACATTCTGTTGTTTGTTTATTTTAAATCAAATGTTGTCTTAGATTTGAAATTAAATTGTGATACTCAATTTTTTTCAGGAAGTGAAGTTGTACACAAATGCAAGAGAACGTGAAAAGTATATATATTTTTTACTTTTTTAAATTAATATATACTGTGAATTTATTGCACTGATTTTTTAGCCTTGATTTTTTCTTAAATTTTTTTTTCTTATATGGGTGTATTTGATTTTTTGTGGTACTTTAATGCCCTTTTATACATTAAATATCATTTGTTATTTAAAAAATTGATTAAAAATTATAAACATACTGTTAAAATTTTATGTTTAGGTATGACAATATGGCAGATTTGTTTGCAGTCATTAATACTCTACAATGCTTAGAAAAAGCATATATTAAGGATGCTGTTACTTCTAAAGAGTAAGAATTTTACAAGAACATTATTAATTCAAAAATAAAAACAAAAAATATTTTGTTATGATATTATTTTGTGACTACATGCCATTAAAAAATACCTTAAAACTACATTAATACTACAGCTTTTTTGTATGCATTCCATGAAACTCCACTAATTTATACTAAAATATCTTCTAGAGATTCCAATAATTTTCAACAAAAAGCTTTAACTTATGTTTTTAATGTACAAATGTTATACTAGAATATCCAATTATTAGCTAATGAAGAGTTTCTTGTATATTTATTCAATGTTTTCATTAAACAAATGTTTTTTACACGTTATTTTTATACTTTGAGTGTTAATAATAAATTAGTAAAATAAATGTGTTTTATCAGTCTTGTTTTCCAGCTCTAGTGCTTATCAGAGTCTTGTTTTCCAGCCTGCTGGAAAGCAGTATCTGTTATCCCTATTTTTAAAAATTCTGGAGAGCGATCTGATTCGTCTAACTACCGTCTCATTAGTCTTCTTCCTATCATAAACAAGGTTTTTGAATCTTTAATTAACAAACACTTAATCTCTCATCTCGAATCTCATAACCTACTTTCTGATCATCAATATGGATTTCGATCTTCTCGTTTTACTGCTGATTTGCTAACAGTAATAACCGATAGGTTTTATCGCGCATTAGATAAAGGTGGAGAGGTTAAGGCCATTGCTCTTGACATTTCTAAAGCGTTTGATAAAGTTTGGCATGCTGGTCTCCTCCATAAGCTTTCTTTTTACAGTGTATCTGGAAACATCTTTAAGATTATTGAATCTTTTCTTTCCAATCGCAGTATAAAAGTTGTCCTTGATGGACAGCACTCTTCTTCTTATTCTGTAACCTCAGGGATTCCCCAAGGTTCAATCCTTAGCCCTATACTCTTTTTAATTTACATTAACGATCTTCCAGATATTCTCACATCTAAGGTGCATTGTTCGCTGATGATACTACCATTTATTCTTGTCACGATAAGAAGCCAACTCCCTCTGATTGCTTACAGGGGGCATCTGAGCTTGAAAAGGATCTCACTTCTGCTACAGCATATGGCTCACAGTGGCTGGTGAACTTTAATTCAGATAAAACTCAATTTTTTCGGCCAATCGTTATCGCAAAAATTTAGACCTTCCTATATTTATGAATGGTAATGTACTCGATGAGTCTCCTACCCTTTATCTTCTAGGATTAACTCTTACTTCTGATCTTTCTCGGAAACCTTATATCAAATCCGTTGCAAAATTAGCATCTGCTAAAGTTACTTCTCTTTATCGAGCTTGTCACTTTCTTACTCTGGATTCTATTCTCTATCTCTATAAATCTCAAATCCGGCCTTGTATGGAATACTGTTGCCATATCTGGGGCAGATCTTCTAATGATGCCCTTTCTCTTTTAGACAAGGTGCAAAAACGCATTGTAAACATAGTTGGACCTGCTCTTGCAGCCAACCTTCAACCTCTGTCACATCGTCGTAATGTTGCTTCTCTTTCTCTTTTCTACAAACACTATAATGGGCACTGCTCTAAAGAGCTAGCGTCTCTTGTGCCATCTATTAAAATTCATTCTCGTGTTACTCGTCATTCAATCTCATCCTTTTTCTGTTACTGTTCCTAAGTGCTCCAAAAACTCTTATTCGTCTAGTTTTTTTCCTCGAACATTAGTTCTTTGGAATTAGCTTCCTTTATCTTGCTTTTCTGATTCATATAATTTGCAATCTTTTAAGTCATCAGTCAATCGTTATCTTGCTCTACAGATTTAGTCTTTTCTCTTCCAGTAACTTCCAACACTAATTAGTGGTTGCTTGCAGCCTTGTTGGAAGCGAAGATAATTAAAAAAAAAAAAAATGAGTTTTAAAAAACAAATTAAATTAAAGAAAGAGAAGATAAATTAAAAAAATATATATACAACATAGGGGTTTCAAAGTTATTTTTTAATGATTGGTGGATAATAGTTTTAATTTACCAAAAAAACATTTACAAGGCGCAAAGCATGTATTGCAAACATATTAGAGTTTTTTTTTTTAAAAAAAAGACACTACAAGATGTTTTGTCATTTTGACACTACAATGTGTTTAGTCGTACATGTTATGTGGTACAAGGTTGTTGCAGTTTTCGAATCATTTTTTTAGTTTTTTTTCCCCATTTTTTATTTAGTTGTCACATTAACTTTTTCAATTTGCTTTTAAGGGTAATCCACTAACTTAAGAGTATTTCTTTTCAGCTTTCTTGTTACATAGAAAAGCTGCTATTTTTCCAATTAAAACCTATCATTTAGCATTAAAAACAGCATCCAACCTGTTATATAGCATTGCCTTGAATTATTTTTCTTTTACAAACACAGTGGACTAATTTTCTTTTATAATCATGATAGACTACTTGGTGTAGTTAAGACAATTTATAAGTTATTTGAATTCTTTTATTTGGAATTAGCATGATATTGTCAACGTTTTATGTCCAAACAAGAGCTTTTGGTACTATAATTTTTATTGCATCATAATGTATGTTTAAAGAAACTTTTATTTTTTATATATATATATATTTTTTTTATATAAATTTTTCTAAACTTTTTTATTATCCCTAATGAATCCCTTGTGAATATAAAGAACACCATTTTTGAGTCTTTAAATCAATTCTGCTCAACAGCGTTAACTTAATTTTAGTTGAAAATTTTTGAAAAAGTGCCTTAATCTACTATAGATCCTAGCTCTAATCAGTTCTAGCACATATTAATTTAATATAATTGTCAAAACAAAATTTTTCTATCAATTTTCACAAAAAATATTAGAATTACTAAAAATATTTTAAATATTTTTATAATAATTTAATGTTATAATAAATTAAAAATATTAGCCAACCAAGAGCTTATAATTAAGAAAAATTGCCAATAAACAATTAGAACAGATCATATTATTAAACAGCAATGTTTATTTCACCTAAAAAGCGTATTTATTTAAAATCTTATTCAAATTTGAACAAGCGGTCGTGATTTGAAGATTTTTATTTTAAATAAAAGAATATTCGGTGTGGGTTTTTTTGCTACAAACATTTTAATTTTATGGTATGGCAAAATTATTTATATCATTTTAATCATTTTTTTAGTCTTTTCATGATCCACAGACATGATCGTTTAACGTAAATATGTTGTAGTCAGCAAAATATTATACAGACGCTATAATTATTAAAAATCACCTTAACTACACCAAGTGATATTGTTAATGAATATTTGATAACTTTTGTTTATATTTAATTCTGTTCATTAATATTTAATAACTTTTGTCTATATTTAATTCTGTTAATTAATTTTTAATAAATTTTGTTGATATTTAGTTGTGGTTATAAATATGTAATACACAATATTTTGCACATAATGTAATAAAAAAACTTTGTATTTTTTTAGATGTGTCAGACCTTAGATGCTTTTTTTATTATCTGCAAATCTGAACTATTATCAGAATTTTTTTTTAAATATTGTAACTTTTTTTAGGTATACTGCAGCTTGCAGCAAACTATTAGTTCAATACAAGGTCATTTTTTTTATTAAGAATTTTTTCATTCATTTAATGTATAAATTTTTTTTTTTGAAATGAGTTCAAAGTTTTTATGAAAATTGTAGGTTGCTTTTAAACAAGTACAAAGTGCAGAGTTTCCTACAATAGAAGCTTTTACAAAAAAATACCGAGTAAGAATAAACTAATTCTGATTTTTTTTAAAAAATAATAGTGTCAATATTAAATTTCAAATTGATTTTAATAAATTCAGTTTTTTTTTCAAATTCAGCTAGATTGCCCTGCTGCAATGGCAAGAATACAAGAAGATCGTCCAATAACAATTAAAGATGATAAAGGCAATACAAGCAAGTCAATTGCAGATATTGTCATGGTATTATATATCTTAACGCCATTTTTAAGTTATTAGATATTTTACTTAACACAATTTACAAAAGAGCAGAAATTCTTGTTTGTTAGTTGTTCATTACAATCATGGATAAGTTGAGATTAAACATACATGCCATGGATGAGATACAACCCGATTTAAGAGATTTAAAACTAACTTTGGATCGATTGAGTGTTGTTACTGAAGATTTTGAAGGAAAAATAGCTGTTGAAAAATGGTACGAGATTAATTTAAAATTTTTTTAAATTTGTTTTCTGTGTTCTCAGATGATTACCATTATCCCAGATTATAAAATAATAATGCTAATTTAAATTAATTTTAATGGTGTCATACTAAAATAGGTTAAAGTGTGCATACGACAACTGACAAAATATATAGCACGGAATAATTTTATTGTAACAAGAAAATTTATTACAATGAAAGTTATTAAAACTTGTTTTTTATTTCTTTTACTTTTAATTTTATTTACTTAAGTATGAATTTGTACCTATTAGCTTAGGTTTTTTTAAAAAAAACTTAAAATGGAAAAAGAAATATTTTGTTTACTTTTTTTTGTTTAGAATGAATGGATAGTGTAAAAAAAACTTAACATAAACATAACATTAACTTAAAATCATTTAGTTTAACATAAACTTAAAACCATTTAGTTTAACATAAACTAAAACCATCCTGATGTAACCATTGTGGTATACCAACAGCAGTTTGAAAGATTTTTTTGAGTTTTATTCAAGACTTAAAACAAAGATAAAAAGTTTTTATTTGTAAGCTTTATAAAACCAATGGGATTTATACATGAAGAAATATTGAATTACATTTTCAGATAATAACATTTGATAATAATAATAATAAGTATTTAAAATATTTATCATTATTATCAAAGGCTTTTTTCTTAAAATATGATGATGCTATGTTTGATATTAATTTGTTTTTCACTTATCGAAGTCAATATGGTAATCATGACAACTAGAGATCTGTTGTGAAAGAAGTTTCAAATGTCATTTGCACATTTTATGTAAGAATGTGGCGACTTATAATTGCTTATGAATATAAGTAGTAATGCTACACACGGGGGTTGGTTTTCCGAGTAAATTTATGCAGCTACGGTAGTCTTGATTTAAATATTGATTTCTGCCGAAAAACTCGTAACTAACTGTATTATTTTAGTTTACTTCTGGTTGCAAACATTTGATATATTATTAGTAAGATTCTTTTAGGTTAAAAACGCTTGGAGAAATGAGAGCACATGATGAACTTACCGAAGAACAAGTAAGGCAAATGCTTTTCGATCTTGAGCAATCTTACAACGCGTTCAACAGATTGTTGCAACATGCATAACTTTGTGAAATCCTTTAAGAGACTTTTAAACGTTTTGCTTACAACTCATCGTCAATTCTCATCAACAATACTTGCACTCGTCGGTTTATAAAAACTTTTACAAAATAGTTTGGTTTTTTTACTTATAAAATGTATAATACAATAAAATTGTTTAAACGGCATAAAATCTATTCTTAATATTTATTATTATTATTATTATTACTATTATTATTACTATTATTATTATTATTATTATTATTATTATTATTATTATTATTATTATTATTATTATTATTATTATTATTAGTTATGAAAACGAAAAAAGTTATACTAACCAATAATTGGTGAGAAGAACATTAGTAGTCCATTTTTTGTTATTTGGACTTTTTTTCATAATTTCATTTAACTTATGTCGATCTCTCTATGTACTACAAAAATAATCTTTCTTTCATTACTTTTTGCCATAAAGTAAATTGATAAATAGTTTATAAACTATAACTGTTTAAAACTTAAACATTGACAATCTCGAAATGAAAATATTGACTAGTACTGTTTTTCTTTTCATCGATTCAATAACTTTAATACAAAAATGATGTCCAAAAAACGGTGCAATATGAAGGAGGTTATAGAGAGAAAAAAATATCAGCAGTAATTGTTTTCCTAAAAAAACTTATGAAATAATAGTGAAATTACTAATAATATTTTAATTTCCAATACAATAATACTTTCGCTTTAAAAGAAAACTCAGTAAAACAAATTTCGAATCTAACCTCGAATAATACTATAATAAACAATAACAAGGTAACCGAAAAATAAATAATTAAAGTAAATTTAATAAAACCAATAAAGATCATGAAGTTGATGTAAGGAGTAATATAATAATTCAATTTTTTATATAAAAATCCCTTATATATTTAGCATATATTTAGTCTTTTTTTAGAACAAGGAATCGTTTCAGATAATTTTAGAGTTTCAAGGGCGATACCAACCATAAAATGTGGTGTAAACTGTCTGAAATCACTAACCTCTCTCCATACTACCATACTATTCAAAAATATTAGAAAATATGTTTAGATGGTTGTACTGATCAGATGATTGTTCATTTTGTTATTAATATTCTTTTCTTATTTGACAGAAATAAATATACTTAAAGTGTTTTTATTGATCTCATTTGATAGAAATATACTTTAGCTGTTTTTATTGATCTCATTTGATAGAAATATAGATGTTTTTATTGATCTCAGCAAGGCTTTTTTTTTTATTATTATTTCATTTATATAACACCTAAGGGATCGTCCATAAATTACGTCATTCATTTTTTGACCTCCCCCCCCTCCCCTCGTCACAAAATCGTAACACTTAAGAAGCATGTTTTCTATGAGTCGTCACAAAACTACCAACCCCCTCCCCCTTATAGCGTGACGTAATTTATGGACGACCCCTAATGTAATTTATAAGGTAAACGAAAAATAAGAAAGTTATTTCTCGTAGTTTTTACTTAAGAATTTTTTCTTCCAGAATTTGTTTAAAAATTCCTCTTTGTTCTTTCGCATTCCAGCGCTCTATTGCATATTTCAAAGTTTGTTCAACTTCGGAGGGAATTTCACTTTTAGAAATTGCTATTTTTTATTTTTTTTTATTTTAAATTAAATTTTAAAAAATTTAGCGCCCGAAAACGGCATAGGTCCTGGATATCGCCAACAAACGATTTACAACCTTAATATGAGATTGTTGCACTACTATTGTTATATAACGAAAAGATAGTGTTAACAATACAGAGTGGTAATTTTTTTATAGAAATATAATTTATAAAATAGGATATCCCAGTTGCAGCTATGAAAAGCTTTTTCTGCATCTAAAGAACATAGGTACACAGGTGAATTGTTGTTATAGTAATGTTTAATTGTTTCGCTAATTAGAAAATCAGCACGTAGTGTTGAACAGTTAGCATTGAATCCAAATTGTAGGGGTAAGTATCCCTAATATCCAGACATATAATAAGGATTAGGTGTTCTAGAACCTTTGTCAAAATTGGTATAATGCTAATATCACGATACTTTCTCGGGCTATCTAAAAAATTTTTATACGATTTAACAAGGGGTAAAATAATAATCGTCGGCATTGATAATGACATTATCAATATCGACGTCTATTAATTATTAAAACAACATGATTAATGTTGTTTATCCATAATTAATGGAATAATTAAAAAAATTTAATGAGCCTCTTTGTTATAGTATCACGGTTTGCGTATTTCAAATGTTCTGCTGAGATACAGAAAGAGTCAGGAGATTATTTAAATTTTAGGTTCGAAATTACCCTAATTGTATTTTCTTTAAATTGTAACATCATCATATTTTGTACGCGGGGGAATTCTCCGATGATTTTTATTACGATGTGTTATTTTTGAAGTATTCAGTACTTTTTTGAAGTGGTTTGCGAATTCTGAAGTAATGGGCTCCTTGTCTTTTTTATTATTTATGGTAAATAATTTAGAATTTATGTCTTTATTTAAACATCTAAAAGCATTCCAAAAGTTTTTTGGTCTAATATTTTTTAACTTTTCAATTTTAGTATACTGTGCGCAAATTTTGAACCAACGTCAAGTTGGTTCAAAATAACAAAATTTGCGCACAGTATACTAAAATTGAAAAGTTAAAAAATATTAGACCAAAAAACTTTTGACGGCTTTGCGAAAGCATTTACGGGCCATTAAGTAACAATTGAAATAACGGAGTTTAAAACTTTTAAAAAACCAGAATCTCTCTATTTGTTAAAATGAATTGAAAGAATAGTTTTAAACAACATAGTTCAGGTGTCCACCAAGATTTTGAATACTAATATTGCTTTTTAATTTTTAAAGTTTCTTTAAAAGTTATTTGAGCGCTGCCAGCAATTATTTTATAGATTTGAATAAGGTCGTATTCATAATTATCAGTAAAATTAAGATAGTTAAAGCAATCGGTTAAATGATAATTATATGCATTTATAAAGTTAGTATCGTTCCAGGCGTAGCTAGGAATATTAATATCTTCTGCTATTGTTGTATTGTATTTAGTGTGCTTACCTTCAACTTCAATTGATATTGATAGCGGTAGATGATCGCTTAAATTATTTGAGCACTCAGGATGAACAATGCATTTTAGAATTAGGAAATTTGTATATTTCGGTATGGCTACGTGATCAATAAATGACAAATTCAGTAGTGTCTGGTGTCGATATGTATAATTAGGGCCAGAACCTTTTGTTACATCTACTAGTCATCTAATTGATTTGTTTTATTCAGATAAAAGTGCAAAGAATAGTTTCTTTTGGAATTCGATCTTTCAAATAAATCATATATTTGGTGTGGAAAAGATTGGAAATCACCGTCTGTAATTATATTTACCTTCGTAACTATTAATTAGATCTTTGACGTCATCTAATTGACTTTTATATTCTTCCAGTGATGAGAGGCTGTCCGCGATGAGGAAAGGTATAAAATTTTTGATATTCCATCAAACACTCTTTCAACCTGGAAAAAGAATAAAGATAAAATCTTTGACGCTTTTTGTCAAGGAGATTTGACTAAACGGATGAAAGTTGATTTTTTATTACCTCGTAAACAAAGCTGTTCTGAAATGGTTCAAACGAATGAGATGTACCAATTAGTGGCTTGCTTTTAAAATAAAAAACTTTATATTTTGCGATAGAGTTATGCTTCAAAATTTTTCAAACTTCGTAAGATGGCCAGACTAATTTAAGAAAAAGCAAACTAATATGGAGATAATTTGACAAAGGCTCTTAAAGATATAAATCGTATCTTTGACATGAATATACTATCTCATAAAATACAATCTACAATTACTGACTTGTGTTTTTCAAATTTTAAAGTTTAAAACACATAACATATATTGTTTTTATGCCGAAGAATTACTATTTGTTTGTTTAGATATGATTGATAGAGGTATACCTCTATCAATCACATTTTTGATTGAGTCAACTTTGAACTATAAAAACATAAAACATGGTTTAGTGCTAATAAGTTATTGTTAAACGCACAAAAAACTAAAGATTTTTTATTTCACTTAAAGCAACAAATAAATGCAGTTCCATAATGCAGAATAGAGAACCCTTGAGTTAAAACCTTTTGATTGTCATCTTTATATCTGATAAATGTCGGATTATTAAGTTCACTGGGATTAACTCCATAAACATTAAGTAATTGGAAGGATAGATTGTTAATGTGTACTAAAAGGGTGTCTATTCAACCGAACTGTTTTTTTTCTGATGGCAAATTTAGGTGGAACGTTAGCTGACTAACAAAAATTAGCTGGAGCTAACATTAACTCTCTAAATATCTCTATGCTTGGTAACATAGTTCTCTCCAATATTTATATCATTATGTTTTTGTTTATACACACTTTGAATTAAGGCACCATCAAAACTCCCTTTAAAGTACATCTTTAAAATTTTCTTTTAATAATGAAAGACAGAAATGTTATCTTCAGTTGTAATTATGATTGAAAAATCTGTTTTAACTTCTCTTCTTCTTTAATTTTACGAGAGCAAAAAATTTTAGCCTTAAAAAATGCTTGATAACTTTATACTATTAAACCATCTTTGATATAGTTTTTTTCACTTTTTGATTAAACTTGGTAAAATTTTAAAAGTAATTTTTATTAAAAAAGAAGTAACCGGAGCAGGGGAAAGGGCATGGTTAATCGACGAAAAAATAAACTTGATTTTTCAAGTTTTACTCGCTTACCAAACTCACCGTATATTTTTATGTTTTCGCAACACCATCTTGGAAACTAGTTTGGTTTAGATTTTTTTTCTAATTTTTTTTACAGTTCAACAAATATTCTGAGTAAAGGTAAAGAAAGTGTCCTATCAAATTTTTTTTAAGTTTTTGTTTTAAATATAAAATTAAAATTTTTCAAAATTATTTTATACAATATAATTAAAAACTCTAGAAACCTGAAAAGGTTTAGGAATTTAAAATATCCATAGAGGGAAAATATATAGCGTAATATATATATATATATATATATATATATATATATATTATATATATATATATATATATATATATATATATATATATATATATATACATATATATATATTTATATGTATATGTACATGTATATGTATATATGTATATGTATATGTCTATATATATATGTATATGTATATGTATATATATATATATATATAATATATATATATATATATATATATATATATATATATATATATATATATATATATATATATATATATATATTATATATTAAAAATATATGTAATATATATATATATATATATATATATATATATATATATAAATATATATATATATATATATATATATTTATATATTTATATATATATATATATATTTATATGTATATGTACATGTATATGTATATATGTATATGTATATGTCTATATATATATGTATATGTATATATATATATATATATATATATATATATATATATATACATATACATATATATATAGACATATACGTATACATATATATATAGACATATACATATACATATAAATATATATATATATATATATATATATAAATATATAAATATATATATATATATATATATATATATTACATATATATTTAATATATAATATATATATATATATATATATATTATATATATATATATATATATATATATATATATATATATATATATATATATATATATATATATATATATATATATATATATATATATATATATATATAGATGTGACGCGTTTTTTTGGTTCTTGTTTTTTTGGTTTTTTTGGTCGTTTTTTTGGAAAAAAAACATAGGGGTTCGTTTTTTTGGTTTTTTTGGGAAATAATCAAAAATTCATTGTTTAAGTTACTAAATTTAACTTTAATGGCAATATCTTAATTCATATTTTAATTTCTGATTTAAATAGGACAATAAATACTGAAATTTACTGAATTAATTTTTGTTTTGGTATATTAACACGGTTAAAGGTTATCACGGTTGAAGCAGTCTTGTATAAAAACTTCTTTGATAATTTTATCTTCCTCAACTTTATCTTTACTGTTTTTAGTGTATATTGACACAATAAACATTTATTTACATTTATTATATTTAACAAAATTTAACAACTAATGAATGAGACTTAGCATAATAAAGAGTCGAGAATGAGTTTTTGTTAATGGAACTAGAGGTAATAACTATTTTGAGCAGCCGCCATGATAGAATTTGTAGGAAAGAGAAAGAGATGCAACTTTACGACAATGGGAAAGAGGCTCAAGCTTAGTAGATAGAGCTTGTTTAGAAGAAAAAGGGCATCATAAGAAGAACCAGCCCAAATATGACAACAACATTCCATACAGGGACAAAAAGATATTTGTAGAGGTAGAGAATGGAATCAAGAAAACAACGATAATGATAAAGGGATGCTAATTTAGCAATCAATTGTATATTTTGTGTACATGAAAGGTTAGTAGCAAATAATATTCCAAGAAGATGTAAAAAAGAAGACTAAGTAAGAGGGTTACCATTAATTAATATAGGAATGTCAACAGTATTGTGGTAGTTGTTTGCAGTAAATAACTGAGTTTAGTTAGAAATAAAATTTATATGCTCAAATATGTGAGCCCCAATCTGTTACAGAAGTAAGATCAGATACAAAATTGGCTGCCTATTCTAAGTGATCAAAAAGAGAAGACTTTTTGTCAAGACAGGAGTAAAAACTTTAGTCATCAGCAAAAAGAGCTACTATAGATGTAGGGTTGTCAGGAAGATCAATAATGTAGATAAGAAACAAAACAGACCAAGAATAGAACCTTGAGATTAACCCCAGAAGTTACTGGAAATAAATAAGTAGGCATTTGACGATGATTATAATAAAGCAGTTAGAAAGAAATGACTTAATAATCCCAGATACACAATTTGAAGTTTCAAGTCTAATTAAAGTTTAATTGTTCAATATTTAGTTCATACTTAAGCTCATTTTCTATTCAACAGGTCCCTAATATTGTTTAAATGGTCTCTAAAATGTTTACATTAAAAAAGTCAACTTATTACTCAAATAAAGAGAAATTTTATATAAATCTTTTCTGAATTAGAATCTAAAAATAGATTAACACAAAAAATACTGACAAAAAATAGATTAAGACAAAAAATACTTTAACACTGAGTAGTGATTTTTAAAGCACCATAATATCTATATATACATACATATATATATATATATATATATATATATATATATATATATATATATATATATATATATATATATATATATATATATATATATATATATATATATATATATATATATATATATATATATATATATATATATATATATATATATATATATATATATATATATATATATATATATATATATATATATATATATATATATATATATATATATATATATATATATATATATATAATATATATATATATATATATATATATATATATATATATATATATATATATATATATATATATATATATATATATATATATATATATATATATATATATATATATATATATATATATATATATATATATATATATATATATATATATATATATATATATATATATATATATATATATATATATATATATATATATATATATATATATATAATATATATATATATATATATATATATATATATATATATATATATATATATATATATATATATATATATATATATATATATATATATATATATATATATATATATATATATATATATATATATAATATATATATATATATATATATATATATATAAAGAGAAATGGATATCTTTAAATTATTAAGTAAATTTTTTTTTCTTGTTGGTAATCAACAGGAAGAACAAAAAGAATTATGATTAGGCTCTCCATACAGGGGGCAGAAATAAAGCCTTAGTCACCCATTAAACCTCTGAACCAAATTAGTAAAATGGAAAAAGATAAACAATTCTTTTGCCATAAGATTATGTCTAAAAATTGAACTTAAAAACAGAGCATATTAAAGAATTTTGCAAGTGTTCTGATATAGTGCTATATGAAAATATTTAGATGAATAAATGTAATTAGAAAAAAAAAATGCTGTTAAAAAATTAATTACAAATAAATAAATTACGAATCATCAGGTGAATGGGGTCTGGGAATTTCCGTAAATAATAATAATTAAAAAGTTTTTAAATTTTCCTTAAAACTAAGTTCAGTATAGGGCTTTTTTTTAATGGGCATACTAGCAATAACTCTTTTTTTGATATAACAAACAAATAATGTAAGACTTAATTACTACATAATATACAAATGCTTAATTAAGTTAATAATCTTGATAGATAGCTTATTTTTTTGAGCATTTTAAGTCTGATATCAAATTTGCATGGTGTTATACATTAATGTATTTACATTATCAAAATTAAAATGGTAACTTTTTTATAGAATAAGAATAGTTTTTATATATAATGAGAGTATCACAGTTGTTAGTACAATAAAACAGAAAATAAACATTTTCATACAGTATACCTAAATATATAACTAAATTAAAGCTAATTTAAATTTTTTATAAATTTTTTTTGTTAAACTGGTGTTTATACATCTAATTGTGCTTTTAATGGCCAAATACTAAAATTTATACTAGATTAAAGGAAAACTAGTCCTAAATTTATGTAAAAAAAAAACTGAAAAATTGTTTAAAAAAAGCAATACAACACCAAAAAAACCAAAAAAACACCAAAAAAACCAAAAAAAACATCAAAAAAAACCAAAAAAACACGTTTTTTGGACCCAAAAAAACGCCAAAGGAAAAAAACGCGTTTTTTTGCAACTCTCTCTCTATATATATATATATATATATATATACATATATATATATATATATATATATATATATATATATATATATATATATATATATATATATATATATATATATATATATATATATATATATATATATATATATATATATATATATATATATATATATATATATATATATATATATATATATATATATTAGGTACGCAGACTGATTTTTTTAAATTAATTAAATACTAGAATATTATATATCATTAGAAAGCCCTTAAATACAGTATTTTAAAGATGAAAAAATTATGAAAATCGGACAGTTCTATAAAAAGTTATAGCGTTGTTAGTAGCAAATTTCCGATATATGGATTTATTGAAGAAACTGGTTCCAAAATTTTTTTTTTTTCTCACTAAAATTGTTATAACTTTGTCAAATCTTATCCAAATGTCTATATCTTAGTATCAAAAGATAGATGTAAGAGTAGGCTACAAGTTCATATAATGTTATAGATAAAAGGGGTGTCTAGAGGACCGGAGGGGGTACGGAACACCTTCGTACCCTTAAAAAAAATACAAATTTTTCACACGAAAGAGTGTTTTTCTGATAAAATATGTCATCTTTATACACAAAAAATTGTTCTAATTTGCTTCCATTCCATTTCCAAATATTAGTGGTCTATTTTAGATTAAAGGGTGGATGTCTTCGTTATGTTTTAACACCCTCGTAGTGAAATGCTACATTCTTATAAATCTTTGAACCTAAAAAACAATGATTATATTTTGTATGAAAAAGTTTAAATCAAATTTTCTTACTTTACAGCATATATAAGGGGTGTATAAATTGACATAAGGGACGGGACATGTGCCACGCCAAACGCGCCCCCCCCCTGCCCAGTCGTATCCAACCTAAAAAAAAAATTTTAAAAGATATTTGAAAAGTGGTTTTAAATTGAGTTTATTTGAAAAGAGAAACAAGTATTCAAGATTATTTTTATATGTTAGTACGGGTAGGGGCGTGTGCTACACCCAACGCCCCCCCCTTCCCTTCTCATTCAAACTTGAAAAAAATGTAAATAAAAATTTTTTAAATGTTTTTAAATGATTATTTAAAGAGACATTAACTTTACTAATCTTACCACATTACAAAATGGAAGTTGGAGTATTCACCCTAAAAATAGGCCAAAGATAAAACTAATTTTAAAACTTATATTTTAAAAAGTTTCAAAATGCAAAATACAATAAATTTAAGTCTTGGCTTTTAGTAGATGATATTGTTTAAAATTCCAAGAAGGAAACTAAATAAATCATTCATACATAAACCAAACATACCACTTGTAGCAGATGTAGAAGGGACTAAAGTTAAAAATTATTTACAAAACATACATATTGCAGTCATCGAAAATATATACACATATTAAAAAGTAATAATTGTTAAACTTACCATTCCTTGAAGGCCAAGATATAACCAAAAATTCAAAATTTGTAATAAAAAATTAAAAAACTAAATACTGACTTTGAAATTGGTAATCTTTAAAATCTATCGACAGATTAAAAAGTACTAGATAATTATCTCTAATCATTAACACACAAACTTATACAAACTTACCAGTGATTGTCTGTGTAGATTCAACAAAAAATAGTTAAAAAAAAATTGTATACAAAATAATTTGAAATTCTCAACAGTAAGTTACAGATGTGACAATCATTAAAGCTGTTCTGCTTTAAAATGTAATATAAAACAATGATTAGTGAAAGTGATAGGATGAATAAATAATATGAACAACATATTAATCAATGATATCTTAAAAAATGTTATTGAGAGTAATTATTTCATTATACCACACTTTGAGGAATAACACAATACTAATGAATTAAATAGTGTATATAAATAGAAACATAAATTCAATAACCATTCAGAAACATTTCTAAATCATAAATTTACCAGTAGAAAGTTGTGCACATGGAACTAAAGATAAAAAAAAGTGTTATAATAATTTGCAATTGATAAAGAGAGGTGTGTACATGTTTGCAAATAATAGTTTTTAAACTTACTACTTATAATAGCCGTTAAAGATGTAACTAAAGGTTATTAAAGTTGTAATTAAAACAGATACCGAATTGCCAAGAAATGCATAAACGTATTGAAAAGTAAAAATTTGTAAACATACCACTTATAGCAGAAGTAGAAAGAACTAAAGTTAAAAATTATTTAATAAAAAATTATATATTGCAGTCATCAAAAATATATACACATATTAAAAAATAATAGTTGTTAAACTTCCCATTCGTTGAAGACAAAGATGTAACTAAATTTCAAAATTTGTAATAAAAAATAAATATTGCAAATAATGACTTAGAAGTTGGTAATCTTTAAAATCTATTCACAAAAAAAGTAATCGCTAATTCTATAATCATTAACATATACAAACTTATAAAAACTTACCAGTGGTAGGCTGTGTAGATTCAACTAAAGAAAAAAAAAATTGAACACAATAACTTGAAATTGTCAACAGTAAGTTACTAATGTAACAATCATCAAAGCTGCTCTGCTTAAGGTGTAATTACTGTACTCACAAAATAAATATAAACAATAAAAATACAACTATTAAAATATAAAGATAATATATTTATAAGCAACAAGCTAACATTAGCAATGGTTATACACTTATGTAAACAGTAAACACAGATAAAGATTATCTTTATCTGTGACACATATAACACAGATAAAGATTATCTTTAAAAGATAGTATACAATAAGTAAAAAATGTTAACCTAAGTTTTTTAAGTGTTTTTATATTTAGAAAGATATTTTAAACGTTCATTAACATTTACTTATTGTATACTATTTTCACTTTGTGATTAAGTGTTTTTTTAATGAATAAACTTAAAATTTATGTGATTTATACTTACGAAATCTTAAAAAATCAACAAAAAGCCTGGTTGGATCTAAACGAGAAATAAATATTAGACATGCTTGTATAATGATTCAAACACCAAACCACAGATAATAAATCAAAAAGATAAATCATAAATGACAAAAGAATTTTAGTCATATTTGGATTTTTTATAAGTATATAATCCAAATATGACAAAATACAATAAAAATAATATCTTCTGTTATATCTTAAAAACACTTAGAAGTTTTTTTTTTGTTAAAACTAATGAAGTATACAATATACTTATGTATATATATATATATGATGTCTTAATAAAATTGTTAAATGCTACTAATCAGTTCAAAAGTTTAATAGGCTATTATAAACCACATAACAATAAGTATATTGTATACTTCATTAATGTAATCTTAACAAAAAAATTCATAGAGTTTTTAAAATATTAAACGTGTTTTTAAAAAATTAAAACTCTTGCTATTGAATACCAACAGTTTTAATTTAAAACATTAATCTTTTTTTATATTTGACATAAAGTTACATAAAAAACAATGAAGAATTTCGGATTTGAAAATAGTTATTAATACTATTACTAAGAATAAAAAAAATTGAACTACTAACTGTTAGGGCATCTAAAACAGTTTTGTTAATTTTTTCCATTTCTAATTAAATCTAATAATATAAATCAAAATAATTCAAAATAAGATTTTTTTTTGAATCGCCCCCTTATCCGGTTTCGGTGCCACCCGCATTTCGCACCAAAAAAAAAACAACAACAAAAAATCCGAAATTAGGTACCTAACGTCCAACACTAATTAAACTATTTGCTTATAATTATTTTCCGTTGAAATTTTGCATGTGCATAGAAAAGGCATGAAACAAACTATTTTAATAATAAAAAAAGCGGACTCTACATTTCTTCGACCACAAAATTATGAGAGAACATCAACCTAATATTCAGGAGCAAAATATTCTATAAAAAAGTTTAGTAACCATATATAAAAGTATTTAAAAAAGCAAGATTAGCCTTTCTTCTTTCCAAAAAGTATCTATGTGTATAAATTTTTATAAAAAGAAACTTCACAAAACTACGTCTGCCTCACGCTGCCTAAAAAAGAGTTAAAAAAACGAGAACCAAAATTTTAGCATAAAAATCGGTTCCGTAAATCGCGAATTCCGCGTACCTATATATATATATATATATATATATATATATATATATATATATATATAATATAAATATATATATATATATATATATATATATATACTATAGCAGCCAAAAGTCATGGTTACAGTGGTTTTTAACTACAGTTTTATCAGTTTTAATTGAAAACAACTTCCATAGATTGATATTTATTACCTAAAACATCAAAGATTGACAAGAATAACAAAATAAATTCATATTTACATAAAATTCACACAAAATTTTAATATTTAGTGTGTCCACCATGCACGCGAAGGCAGGCTCTAATACGGCGCGGCATTGATTCTATCAGATTTCGAATCTGAGTAACTGAAATCTGCGACCAAGCAACTGCCAAAGCTGGTCAAAAGTGCTTGGTTTTGAATCCTGCACCTTTCTGAAGAGGATTTCCCACATATGTTCTATGGGGTTGAGGTCTGGGCTTTAAGCAGGCCAGTCCATCACCTGTACATTCTCATGCCTCAAAAAATCAGACACTGTCATCGCCTTATGACAAAGTGCATTGTCATGTTGAAATACAAACCTCCTGTTCGCACCAAAAATGGTTCTAGCAGAAGGCAGCATATGATTTTTGAGGATGTTAAGGTACTCGATCTGATTTACAGTACCGTTACAGCGGTACAACTGCCCTACTCTCGACCAAGACATGCAACCCCATACCATGAGGGAACCCCCTCCATGCTTTACTGTTGGAGCAATGCAGTCTTTGTGATACTTCTCACCTATTCTCCTCCTAACCAAGACTCGCCTTGCTCCACAGAACAGCCTGAAAGGTGCTCTCATCGCTCCAAAGCACCTTCTTCCAGTCTTCGGCAGTCCAGTCCTTATGCTCCCTTCGCAAATCGCAGTCTCTTCAACTTATTAGCCTTAGATAAGAGAGGCTTCTTGGCTGCAACTCTGCCATGCAGACCTGCATTTTTCAGTCTGCGTCGTATGGTACTCGCACCTGTAACGACCCCCATCTCAGTTTGCAATCGAGCGCGCAGGTCAACGGCTGTCTGGCGACGATTCTCGAGACACATCCGAATCAGTGCTCGGTCCATCCTCGGTGTGGTTTTCTTCGGTCGCCCAGACCTTGGTAAATCTCCGACACTACCCGTCTGTCTCATCTTCTTTACTATTCTAGCAACAGTATTTACACCTATGCCCATCTCTTTGGCGATCACCCGATAAGATTTGCCTTCTTCTGCCTTTACGAAGGCTGCCATTCTGTCCCTGAATGCTCAGCTTGTTGTATTGACTCATGGCTATTCAGCAAAATCTATAAAAATAATTAATACTTTAGTCACTTAAATCATAGTATAAACAATTATAACAGTAAGACAAACATTTCTGCAGTGTTTTAAACAGGTTTAGGTAATGTTCAATATTTTATTATTATTTTTAAAATAATTTTCACTATTTATTCAGAAATATTCTTCTAAATCAATACTTAATGTCTAAAAAATTACCACATCATCTCTATTATCACTCATTCATTAAAAAATTACTATCTACTATTTCTACAACTGTTTGTTTACAAAATACATTATGTAATAAATAGTTACAATATTGTTTCTTACCTTTGTGTAAATCTAAAATTTTGTTTTTATATAGAATGCTCAAACTGTTATACATAAATCTGCAATGAATTAATAAAACTCTATTTTTATCGGTTTGTCAATGTAAACAACAGTGTTCTATTAATAGCACATTCACGATGACACGTTCTGGGCATACTAAAAGCCTAAATAAATGACTACATGACAAGAATTGTATTGAACTCTAAAATAAAACTGCTGTAACCATGGACTTTTGGCTGCTATAGTATATATATATATATATATATATATAGATATATATATATATATATATATATATATATATATATATATTATATATATATATATATATATATATATATATATATATATATATATATATATATATATATATATATATGATATATATATATATAATATGTATGTATATATATATTATATATATATTATATATATATATATATATATATATATATATATATATGTATATATATATATATGTATATATATATATATATATATATATATATATATATATATATATATATATCTATTTATATGTATATGTACATGTACATGTATATGTATATATATATATATATATATATATATATATATATATATATATATATATATATATATATATAATATGTATATGTATATGTATATGTACATGTACATGTATATGTATATATATATATATATATATATATATATATATATATATATATATATATATATATATATATATATATATATATATATGTATATAGTATATGTATATGTATATGTTATATGTATATATATATAGGTACGTGAGTAAAAATTTTAAATTGTTTAAATATTCTACTGTTATATATCATTAGAAAGAGGACCAATACAGTATTTTAAAGGTGAAAAAATTATCAAAAACGAACAATCGGTTCAAAAGTTATGACAGTTTAAGTACCGATTTTTCGATATATAGAATTGTTGAAGAAACTGTGGTCAAAATTATGTTTTTCTTCACTTAAATTGTCATAACTTTATTAATTCTTATCGAAATATAAATATCTTGGTGTCAAAAGATAGGTATAAGAGTGGGCTACAAATTTAAAAAAAACTCTAAACACCGGGTGTATCATATGGACAGAGGGGGCACCAAACCACCACCTTACCCGTTTGAAACTAAACATTTTTTCACAAAAAAAAGTCTTTTTTCAAGACATAAGTATTTTAAATATACAAAAACATTGTTATAAAATTATATATAACCACCAGAGTTTATAAGAGGCGTATGTTAACATTGGAGGTGGGTGTGGTGGTGATGGTTTGATACACCCTAGTATCAAATAAGACTTGTTTTCATGAATATTTTTATCTTTACTAAAATGAATTCAATTAGTATAAAATATAAAATTATGTTCTACAAGAATTTACGTGGTGGTACTATTACGAATTTAAGTCGTGTTTACATCGATGTATGGGAGGGGCGAATAACCCCCCCCCCCAACCTAAAAAAAAAATTAAAAAAAATTAAAATGACACAACTACTGTTTCCTATAGTCCCAAAACAAAGTTTTTTTCTGTATAAAAAAGGTTCTATAAATTAATACTGGACAACCACCAAACATTGAAGGTAAGTGTAAAACTCATGTTAAATGTGTTGACCATGTTTTAACACACCCTAATATTGCAAAAAAAAATTAATTATGAAATATTTGATTGGTTTTTTAAAAAACAACAACAAAGAAGTAAAAAATATATCTTACCCGGTAAAAGTTACATCAGTGTAGCATCCATTTTCAAAAAACAGGGGCTATCCCTCCTTTCCCCTAACTAATCATTTTTTTTAAAAAAAGCATTTTTGATTAATTGGAGAATTTTTGGTTAAAATATTCTCATACAGAATGACTTCTATTATCAGTCAATAGTGGTAAAAAGGTAATCAAAACAAGGTATTTACCAACCTTTATAAATCTTCAAATCTTTCATATAGTGCTTGATACTAATTTGGTTAACGAAAAGTTAGGCTGTTTCAAACTAAAAAACAAAAAAAATGTTATTAACACTAAATGTTTGATTATTTTAATGATGCTTTATTTCATAAAGTTTTTTCTTGGCTTTTAGTGAATGACTACAATGATAAATTATACTAATGAAATTATTTTATAATCATTTTTAACAATAGACACCACGTGAAGGTAAGCCAGAGCCGTCTATCAAAAATACATAGCAAGTTACAACACTTGCAGTACTTTTGTTTAGCAAGGCACAACACTTGCAGTACTATTTTTAGCAAGTCAAAGCACTTGCAGTACTTTTTTTAGAAAGTCACAGCACTTGCAGTACTTTTTTTTAGCTAGTCACAACACTAGCAGTACTTTTTTTTTTCAACAAGTCACAGCACTTGCAGTTTTTTAATCTATAAATTTCAAATTTATATTTTGCAGTGTTTTAACAAAATAACATCTAGTCAAACTCTCTGGAAACAATATCTGCAACAAGTTGAAACTTTTTCATGCAATGTTCTACAGCTTTGAAATCCATTTTATTAACCAACCTTTAATAATTTTTAAGTATTTCAAATAGCGCTTTGGCTGTTTCAAACTAAAAAACAAATAAAATGTTATTAAAAAGAAATAATAATGGTTTGTTTATTTTTTATCTCATATAGTTTTGTCTTGGCTTTTAGTGAATGATTACAATAATAAATTTCTTTTAGCTAGTCACAACACTGGTAGTATTTTTCAGCAATTCATTTGTAGTACTTTTTTAGCTTAAATTTCAAACTTGTACTTTCACAGTGTTTTATTAATATAATATAAAATTAATAAAATTGTAAACAGCTTCCATATACGTTTCATCATCTTTCCAGTAAGAAATAGTGCAAACTAAGTCATTTTTTCAACTAAATACTTTTTCTACTCTGCCATTATACAAAACAGGCTTGGATGTTTAGGATCATATCATTCATGAGTTTTTTGCCTACTATTCTTCTATACATGACATCTTCTAAATTATAAAGTTGGTCATTAGACAAATTTTTATATGAATCTATAATTTTATCATAACTCAGTTTGGATAGCTAACGCTCTAACTTTTTTTTCTCTAACTTTTTTCTTTTTCATCGATTTTTTGGCGCTTGGATGCCTGTCTTCGGGAAATATTGGCTCTAATTTTAGCCTGATGCAATCGCTTGCTTATTCTATTTATACGCGCTACACTGAGCAATTAACAACTTTATCTCTCAAATTAATAATATAGAAACCTTATCAGCTGCAACAGATGACAAGGATATTAAAGATTAAATAATACAATGACACAAAAGATTAAATGGTACATGTAAATATTACATATTAAATATACATATATAGTACATATTAAATATACATTAACATAGTACATATAAATAATACACAAAATCAGACTATATTTTTCAATACATACACATAAAAATACATATCTCTTACCAATTAATAAAGTGTCGCTAAAGAATTAAAAAGAAATAAGTAATAACAATAGTAATATAATGTTTAAAATAAACTTAATTTTAAGTTACAATTTTCGTTACAACATCTTTATTTAGTGTGTATCAATAAAGTAAACACTTTTAGCTTGTGTATCAATTAAGTAATAATCTTTAGCATCATTAAACTAATTGAAATTGTTAAAATTTACCTAAAAGCCAACTTTAAATTACTTACTTCATTATAAGATTAAACTATAACACTAACATTACAAAAAAAAAAAAAGTTTAAATGACTAAATAACTAAAATATTTCAAACTTTACTTACTAATAGTTTGTTCTAAATTGTCTATAGAAAAAAAATAACAATGATTCAATAAAAATCATGAAACAATCAGGAACATATAAATAAACAACTGTAAAAAAACTTTGTGGATGCACAAAAATCTGCACAAAAAACATAGCATAATAAAGATATATAATTGAATATTGAGAGTAAAAGACTAAATACTAAAATAATAAATCGCAAAAAAAAAACTGACTTAACCTCTCAAAAGTATCATCTAAAATATATATATATATATATATGTATATATATATATATATATATATATATATATATATATATATATATATATATATATATGTATATATATATATATGTATATATACATATATATATATATATATATATATACATATATATATATATATATATATATATATTTATATATATATATATATATATATATATATATATATATATATGTATATATATATATATGTATATATATATATATATATATATATATATGTATATATATATATATATATATATATATATATATATATATATATATATATATATATATATATATATATATATATATATATATATATATATATATATATATATATATAGTCATGTCATGTCATGTTGGGTCTTAAATGAAATAAAAAATGTCATGTTGGGTCTCAAATGAAACAAAATTATATAAATGTTTGAAAATATGAATCATTTAATTAAATTATTATTTCAGATTTTAGTGAAAAGAAAATGATGTTTTAACTGAAACTAAAAATAGGGAATTTAACAAGATTTTTTGATTTTAATTTTTTCTCTGATTTTTTTTTTTTTTAATAAAATAATCATTATTTATTAATAAATTAATTTCAGTATGTATATTTTAAATTAATTAGTGGAAATTTTAAGATCATTTGTATTAGGGACAAGTTTACCTATATTTCCAAAATTTTATTGTTTGAAATTGATTTCCCATCAATAACTGACATTAAGTGCCTTAAAGTGAGATCATTTGTGCAAGGCCTAAACTATTTAAATAAATTTGTTTTGAAGTTTTTTTGAATATATAAGTTATATTAAATATATATTAAACTTTTCAAGTTTTATAAACTTAAGTTTTAGTTAATATCATAAACTTTTTAGTTTTACTAAAAAACAAAACAACACAGAAATTACAAGTTTATAACTACAAAAGTAATGTCTTTACTTTTTTTAATATTGTATTGTACTGTTTGGTTTATTTTTCTTATTTTATTTGATGATTATTTGTATAAATAAATTATTAAAGTTTAACTCTACAGGTTTTGTAAATTATTATAAATATTTTCATTTAATACTAATTAAATTTTATAATAGTATTTCTGATCCTCAAAAAATGAGGACCAAAAGTATTTCCAGATATTACCATTCTCAATTGCTTATTTCAACCTTAAAATATAAGCAAAGAAAAGAAAAATTCTGCTATACTTATCATTGAAATCATTGAAAAAAGATTCTGCTATACTCATTATATATCATTGTGCTATACATATTATATATCATTCTGCTATACATATTTTATATCATTCTGATATACATATTATATATCATTCTGATATACATATTATATATCATACATTCTGCTATACATATTATATATCATACTTCTATACTCACTATTCATCATTGAAAAAAGATTCTCCTATACTCATCATTGCTCTAAAACTGATTAATTTAAAAATTAACTTTGTAGTTGCTTCATTTTTATTCCATTTTGGAATTTTAAGTAGTCCTTGTTCTTAAAATACATTGTTTTTTGTTTCAGCAAAAACTTAGCTAATTTATTTATACATACCATAATACATATATAATAGCACATTAACCTTGCTGATGCTAGGTTAGTGTATAATTAGCAATGATTATATTTCTGATTACTTCTTTAAAGTTTTAACTTATTATTCTCTTTATACTCAATAATGTTTAGGTTTCATTTAAAAATTAATTTATGAGAAAGTGACTAAATCTCAAATATTTTCTAAAGTATAGATAAGGTATTTTATTTTTCAGCAGTACGCTAAATGAATTCAATGTATGGCAGAAAGCAATGAACTTGAAGAGGGAGAGATCCAAGACGACGTTGAGATCATGAAAGTTGTTTCTCATATGAAACCCAGTTTTAAAAACAGAAGAAAATATTCTTCATCCTGGGGTCAAACAAATTTTCAGCCGAGAGTTATTCAAAATAAAAGTATCTTTTCTATAGTCAATTTTGAATCACCTTTTTTGTTTGTTTGTTGATACTTAAATTCAACAAATATAAAAATCAATAAAGAAAACTTCATTCGTACCAAGTTGCATAAAACTCCTTAAAAGTATAACCAAGTAAAAGTACATGTTTTGTTCACATAAAAGAAAATGATTTATAAAAAAAAAAGTTAAAACTCACTAAACTTGAATAATGTTTTCAAAGTAAAACATTTTGTTTTAGTTCAATGCTGGTGGCTCTATTTTAATAGGATATTATAGAGTTTTTTACACCCAAATAATACAGCTTGATTTTTTTCCATTGCACACAACTGATGTGTCATTTGAAAAATTTTTATTTGTTGTGTGTGATGTTAATCAGGGTTCCCACACCTCCTTAAAAACCTTAAATATCCTTAAAAAGTAAAAACCTCCTTAAATGTCCTTAAATAATCTTAAAAAAAGTCAAAATTTGACTGCTCTCCTTAATTTTTCCTTATTTTTTTTTTTTATTATTTATTAAGAAAAATTTTTTAAAGTGAATGGATTATACTTGTTAATAAAGAAGATAATATATAAATTTTTGATAGTTTTCAAACCTATTTTTGTTATTATATATATATATATATATATATATATATATATATATATATATATATATATATATATATATATATATATATATATATATATAATATATATATATATATATATATATATATATATCAGGCTTGGTCGGGAAGCGGGTGCGATCGCACTCGATATTTGACCACGGAAATTATATTTAGTTGCGAAAAGCCGGCCAGATTTTTCATGCGTTTTGAGAACATTTCAAAAACAAGCAAAAAAGCGCAATAAGATAAACTGGACCGATGAGAGACAGTTAAAAAAAAGAAAAATAGCTTTTAACGCAAAACTTTAAGCAAAATAAATACGATTAGAGTTTCAAAATATTTTTGAAACGTCGCTCTTTTATAATTTTTTTTTTAAAAAAAAGCGACATTTTTTGTATATAGTAACAACGTACTAATAATGATTGTTTAATAAAGAAACAAATGTTCTTCAATTTATCAAAGATTATATATAATTTTTATTTATATTCCTATGTCTTATTTCCAGTGCTGGATATAAGAGGTGGGGTGGGGGTGGGGTGGGGTAGAAGAGCTATAGTCCCGGGACACACAATGTTATGGGCCGAGAAATAGTCAAGAGGACCTATCGGTATTTTTAAGTCATTTTTACGATGTCGCACATAAAAAAGGCCACCAAAATAATGCAGCCCCCGGCCCTGTAAAGTCCAACAAGATTAAATCAATAAAACTAACGCTACATAATTTAATTATAAATAAAAAAAGTTTTTTCAGTACCTGTTTTATGCTTCGCGTAGTTTGAAAAGTTTAACATGTTTGAAACAATTCTTCTTAGTAAGATGAACAAATGAAATAACTAAATCATTGAGTTACTGTGGAAATTTAATTAGCTAGATAGAAATTAACTAAAAACGTTAAATTACTTTGTAAGGAGGAAGCGGAACTGCTTAACAATATCGCTGATGATGTTTAGTGAGTGGGCTTTATATCTTTAACTAGTATTTTACAGAAAAAAAAAACTTCAAGTGTAAGTATAACGAGTTTGTAAGAATGGCTGAAGCAAAAATAATTGAAGTTAATAAACCAATTTCTAATACATTACATACATATAAATACATCCCTTATATATAAAAAACAAGATTATACTAATTAAATCTATAATATATTTACAAAACGTTGACAAGTTAAAAAATATAAATTTAAAACATTTATTTTTGTAAACAAATGTTAGTTTAAAACATTTATAGCTTTATGGATGTGACTCCGAGAATGAGCCATTGTATTAAAATAATTGTTCGTTTGATAGTATATTCTTAAAACAATTGATGCTAGAATTCTCAACGAAAAAATAACAAAAACAAAAACAAACAAAAAAGATTTTGAAAAATAATTCAACAGAATACTCTAGAACAGTTGCGTAGTAATTTCAGTTATTTATTAATTGAACTAATAGAATTAGTTGTTCGTAAATTTGGCGGGTTTTTAGTGTTCACGAATATTCTTTATTTATTTTTCCGCACTAAGATGTTTGACAACATTCAAGTTTATATAAGCTTCCATGTACGTCCGTAAAAAAAAATCTTATAAATTTACGATAAAATGAACTTATTATTTTGCGGACAAACAAGGAATACATAAGGAAAACATACATAAACTGAAATGTTCTCAAAAACGCCTGAAAAATCTGGCCGGCTTTTCGCAAGTAAATATAATTTCCGTGGTCAATTATCGAGTGCGATCGCACCCGCTTCCCGACCAAGCCTGATATATATATATATATATATAAAGTAATAATAATTTCTCTGTTTATATTTAAAAATTTATTGAAAAAAATAAGATTATGTTTTTAATGTAATTGTTTTCTCCTTAATTATCCTTACTTTTTCTTTCAAAAAAATGTCGTTCGCGACCAAATCTCCTTAAATATTTGGAAAATATCTCCTTAAATCTCCTTAAAATCCTTAATTTTAGCCTTAGTTTTAATAGTGGGAACCCTGTTAATCTGTGTGTTTAGTTGTTGTGTGTGATGTTAATCTTGCATGTTATGTTGTTTGTAATTTTAAATCAATAATTAAAAAATGATTTTTTTATGTTTTAAAAAAAATTTTAATAAAAGTGTTGATGCAACCATTTCATTTCTTCTAGAAAAGTATGCATATTTAATTTAATCAAATTTTTTTTTCCAACTCTCGGATCAATTTGAGCTCAAAATATTTCAGCATTTTTTCTTTTTCTTTTTTTATCAATAGAATTTTTGCACTCTTACAATTATTTCTGGAAATTAGTTCATAACTCACTTGAAATGTAATTTACCTAAAAAGGTGACTAACTCTCAAAATAGTTTGACAAACTAGTAGATAAAGACAAGATAGTTAAAATATTTCAAATTGTTGATTTTTTGATATTTTCTTGACAAACATTTATAGATATAACTAAAAGAACTGTTTTTATAGGAAAGAAAAATGAGAATACTACATTTAGGCATATCAAACCTTGTCTGAGTGTGAGAGACAAAGCAAGTGAAAAGAAAGGGTGTTTTGATGATATGTTTAACCATAATGGTCTTGAAAGTGGCTATGACCTTGATGACTATGAACTTCTGCTGATCAGACACGAATTAATTCAGCAACAACTAAAGAAATTGACAACTGATGGTATTTAAAATAGTTTAGAAATTTTAATTTGTTTATGTATGTGTGTGAGACAAACAAGAAGTCTGTAGTTGTGTGAGACAAAGTAGTTAGTGTATGACTGAAGGATGACTTTTCAAAGTTTGTTGTATTGTAAGGGATCCTCCATAAAGTATTTATGCTTGGATGAAGAAAGAGGGTCTGCAAATGGCGTTTATGAGATGGGGTGTGTGTGTGTGTGTGTGTGCAGGCTTTCAATTATAAAAGTAAGGAGACACTAAATTAAAAATCATAAAATGTTGGGCAGGTAGGTTAAAAGCGTAGGTATTTTTAAGGAGGTTGAAAGTATTCAAAATAGCGATTAGCAAAATGCAGGGGGTAAGGAAGTTGAAATAAAAGCATTCGTACTTTATGAATGACCTTTAATTAGTTAAATGAACTTAAGTTTTAATTTTTTTTTCTATGTTATAAAATATAATTTTAGTACACTTTCAAAAAAATAAGTATTTAACTGAGCACACACACATATATATATATATATATATATATATATATATATACACATATATATATATATATATATATATATATATATATATATATATATATATATATATATATATATATATATATATATATATATATATATATATATATATATATATATATATATATATATATATATATGTACATACATATATATAAAATTAGATAAAGAATATAATATTGCGGTGTTTAATTTATTAATTATAAAATAATTTTAGATGGGCCTATGATTGTTTTAAGTGAATATGAAGCAGAGGCAGAAAAGCTTTTTGAAGAAACTCGTGTTAAAAAATCATTAGAAGATGACATTTCGTTAGGAAAGGATGTTATCCTTTTATCAGATTCCTCACAAAATGATGACAATGATGAAGAGCTTGAGTTGTTAAGAAATATTTTACTTTCGCAGGCAAAAAAGAAAAATGAAAGTTTGCAAAAAAAAAGCTCTGCTGAGTTAACTAATGACATTTTACAAAATGAAGTTCTACCAACTGAAGTAACAAAAGATCTTGAAAGCACA